TTCATATTTCTGTAACAATCTTACTTTTATCATTTTCTTAAACAAATTATTTGAGCCAGCATTTTTACAATCATTTTCCAGATTATTTCATAATCTTATTCATTTGACTGAAGTACATCTGTCCTTTAAATTTGTTCAAATTTTAGGTTTTACAAAAAATCCTAGTCCCTTAAGATTATAACAACTTTCCCTCTTCACAAACTTTGAATGATCAAAGGTAATACATCTTTATGTGCTTTATACATAACCTGTAAAATATTATAATCAACCAAATTATAAAACTAATAATTTCAACTGGTTAAATAATATATTTGATGGGTGACTGTAATGTTTTCTGGTGATAATTATTTCAGCTCTTTTCTGTAAAATAAAATTAGGATTAGTTTTACATACATTCTCCCAGACTTATATACAATCAATCAAATGTGGAACAATTACTGCATTATATAATATGAATAGTGCTTTATCATTAAAAACGTCCTTTACTTAATGCAGTACTGCAATAAATTTCGCTGTTTTTGTTCTTAAATAATTTATGTAAGGTCTCTATGTCAGGTTTTCATCAATGATGACACCTAAAACCTTCACCTCACTGACTCTACAGATCTCAACACCCTCGATTCTTTCTATTGCTGAATATCATATAAGTAGTTTTATCCAAATTTAATGATAATTTATTAAATTTAAACCAAGTTTGTACTTTTACAAATTCTGTTTCCATCATAAATAATCCAAAATAAATTAACTATAATTAAAAGATGGGCTGTGCGTGAGCTGCAGGTACCTGCTGTATGAGATGCATGCATTTAGACGACTGTACTCCATATGCATTGTTGACTATGTGAGGGATTTCATGTTTGGCACACATGGTAGCCAGTTCTTCAAGCCTGGAAGACAGTAGGACTTGAGCAACRCCTTCCTAAACCTCGTTATCTGACGGCTGGAGGCCTCGTTACCTGTCAGGGACGCGAGGAGCGAAGCAGGATGTGGTCGAGTGAACGCACAGGATGTTCTCCGCTCCGAGCTCCTCGATCTTTCGCTCGACCGTGTCCAGGTCCGTCCGCAACTCGTCGCCCTCGAGGACGTTCTCCACGACTACGGGCTCGAAACCTGATTTAAATACAAAACAAATAAAAATCTGAACAGGTTTCTAAAAGCTGAAAGTGTCATAAGAAGGCAAAACTATGATTAAAAAAATATTTTTCAAAGAAATTTACAAAATCTTTATATCTTTCTATGAAGAAACTAATTAAAATCAAATATTCTTAAAGGCACAG